TTCCAGACGCGGGGTTCCGAGGAAGAGAGGTGCTGGCGGCCAGCAGCCAGGGGTGCCCCTTGCGGGACAGCGCCCTTCGGAGATGCCTTCCCCAGCCTAACGGGCTCAGGACTCGGCTCTTTTCAAGGGTGAGCAGGGCGGAACCGCAGTGAACACTTGCTACGTCGCGGGGAGGACGTCCCCCTTGTTGGACACACAGCACGGTCGCTCCAGGCACTTAATAAATGTTTAACAAAACCAAGTCAGTGCCATTAACAGAAAGAGCTAGAGGAGGTTTTTATTTTTATTTTATTTTATTTATTTATTTTTTTGTACAGATAGAGTGGGAGGGAGAGAGAGGAAGGAGAGAGAGAGAGAAACATCGATGTGAAAGGGACACATCGAGTGGCTGCCACCCGCACGACCAACCAGGGCCGGGGACAAACTGCAACCGAAGTACGTGCCCTTAGCGGGAACCGAACCCGGGTCTCTCCGGACCGCAGGCCGACGCTCCAACCGCTGAGCCAAACTGGCCAGGGCTAGAGAAGATTTTTAAATGTGCTTTGTTTCCCCGGCCCACACCATGCCATACATACACCGTGAATGAGAGCTCAGTGTAAGAGAGCGAAGAGTAAGAACAATTAGGAATAGAAGAGGTAAAAGGGCTCATGGTTTGTGACAAAGGGCAAAAGTCTTCTGTTCTGTGTCACCTCTCTTTTTAGCTGATTGTTGGCTGACTGTCTGTAAGAGGAGATACAACTAACTGCAAGAGACGACAGGAAAATCAGTCTTTGCAATGAAAAAGCACAGGAAAGGGCATGACCTCCGACCTGATGGCCGCATAACCAGTAATATTCCTAGTGATGACAACCATAATTTACAATAGAATTATTTTAAAAACTCAGTCACTTGCGTTTAAAACAGCACCATTTGGAGGACAAGCCACATTCAGAAACGTTAATGCAGATATTTGCCTTCCGCACGCTGCTGTCCAGGTAAACCCTGGCGAGGACACAGAATTACTTTTCCTACCCCCCCCCCCCGCCCCCCATTTCAGTAAGTAGAACCTACAGGCTCCTGACTATCAAGCATAATTGAGTCATTTGAGTTCCTGGGCAGAGCAGAGGAACTCTGCTCTGTATATCAACATAAAACAGAGCCATTATTTTATTATTTTTATTTTTTTATCCTCACCCAAGGACATTTTTCCATTTTTTGTTCAGATAGAGTGAGAAGGAGAGAGAGGGAGAGAAAGAAACATCGACGTGAAGGGACACATTGAGTGGCCGCCACCCACACGACCAACCAGGGCCAGTGACAAACTACAACTGAGGTACATGCCCTTAGCGGGAACTGAACCCGGGTCTCTCTGGACCGCAGGCCGATGCTCTAACCACTGAGAAAACTGGCCAGGGCGCCATTATTATTCAGAGATCAAACCATTAAATACGTTCGTTGTTCTTCATCTCCACAGGATACTGTTTTGCAAAGCTGAGAAATAATGGGCTGATTCTGCTTTTGTAATGAAAACATCACTTTCAAAGTTTGTAAAGCTCACTGAACTAACCACATTAATGATGGAGTTGGGCTTGCTTGCTTTCAAAAATAAGTTTCAACAATGTAACAGTCACAATGGTTTAAAAAGTGAATATATTTAGCCCAGCTGGTGTAGCTCAGTGGACTGAGTGCAGGCCCATTATCTGAGAGGTCCCGGTTTGATTCCCGGTCAGGGCACAAGCCCGGGTTGCCAGCTCCATCCCTGGTGGGGGCGAGCAGGAGGCAGCGGATCAATGCATCTCTTTCACATCGAAGTTTCCATCTCTCTCTCTAAAAAGCATTAAAAATGTATTTTTTAAAAAGTGAATATATTTAGCCCTGGCCGGTTTGGCTCAGCGGTTAGAGCGTCGGCCTGCGGTCCTGAGAGACCCGGGTTCGGTTCCCGCTAAGGGCATGTACCTCGGTTGCGGTTTGTCCCCAGCCCTGGTCGGTTGTGAGGGTGGCAGCCACTCGATGTGTCCCTTTCACGTCGATGTTTCTCTCTCTCTCTCTCTGTTCCTCTCTCTCCCTCCCACTCTACCTGAACAAAAAATGGAAAAATGTCCTCGGGTGAGGATTAAAAAAAAACAAAAAAAAAAAAAAAAAAAAGTGAATATATTTAAATTAGAGGCAATGTCTTATGATACTTTTCACCAAAATATTTTCTACCATTTACGAAAGAAAGGAAGAGAGATGAGAGTAACCAGGATTATGGAAACTGTGGGATGGTAATCTAAGAGACACTCAATCAAATATATATACTTTAAAAAATAAGTATAGAGACAAGTGAGTAAATTACAGCAGGAAGACTTTAACATAGCAGCTGGCAGAACTTCCTGCCATAAAGGCTGTAGAAAACGACAAAGAAGTATTACGTGTTTTCCTTTGGAGGTTGAAAGCAACAGATAATTCTTTGGTTAGATGTAATATTACCTTTTAAAAAAGAGAGAGAACTGGCTTAGATAATGTCTTGAGGTTCCCACATTTTTTCACTACTCGGGAGAAAACAAGACACAAAGGGACTCAACCAAACCTCCGTGCTCTGTGCCAAACCCTCGGCCGGCCACCTGGGTCCTTTGGGGAGGAGTGATTTTCAATAGCTCTGAGTTTTCTGGAGAACTATGTGTATCTCATTCCAAGAATTAAAATTTTAGATGAAAATACTACTAAAAAGGTATTTTAATTTCCTGATCTTTTTTCCTCCTTCCTTTCAGATTTCTTTAATTTTATTTTTCTTTATTGATTTTAGAGAGAGGAAGGAAGGAGAGAGAGAAACATCAATGAGAGAGAACACTGACTGGCCGCCTCCTGCACGCCCCCCACTGGGGATCGGGCCCACAACCTGGGCATGTGCCCTGACCGGAAATCGAACCGGCGACCTCTTGGTGCAGGGTTGACACTCAACCACTGAGCCACACCAGCTGGGCCTTCCTCAGATTTCAAAGTTGTGTTTTTAATATTATGAGTTAGCAAACTCATTCTAGAAATTAAGAAGGAAGAGAAACAGCCATAACCCTACTACCCAGAAACCACTAAGTAACATTTTCTTTTTCTTGAATTATTTCCCATAACCCTACTACCCAGAAACCACTAAGTAACATTTTCTTTTTCTTGAATTATTTCCCAGTGCATACGGGACATAATTCAAGGCCATAAAATCATGAGATCTCAGACTACACAAGTCTTTTCAAAAGACTGGTACTATGCTGAGCATTCTGTGTACATGGCCTCATTTAGTCCCCACAAACCAGTAAGGTAGGTGTTACTTACTATTCCTATTTTAGATGTAGAAAACAAGACTTTGGGAATTGACCAAAGACCAGTAAGAAGCCACAGAGCCTAAACTCAAACCCTTCCGTCCAGCTCCAAACACTGACCTCTTAGCTCTTTCACTGGATGGTGCCCTGCAAGGCCACGCAGCGTCGTGAATTCTAAGGGCCCCCATACATGCATCCTTTACACACACACGAATGACTTTTCGAACTTTCCTTACCATCAGGTTCTTATTTTTCAGTTTTCAAAGACATATTTTCTTCCCACCATTTCCCTACCACCTTTCCAACTTGCTGCGTTGGATTTGACCAGGCTTGCAAACATCCAAGACCAACAAGCCCACTGAATCCTCTGAAACACAAGGGAGACTTCCAGCAGATGAAGGGTACACAGACTTTGTGACACACCGTTTTCTGCTCACGGCTCTGTCTGGGTTTGAGACATGAAGGATATGACACTTAAGTCTAAACATGCACCAGCCAATCCTGAAAAATCAGCACACAGCCTGGCCAGTGTGGCTCAGTGGTTGAGCGTCGACCTCGCACCAGGAGTTTGTCAGTTTGATTCCTGGTCAGGGCACATGCCCAGGTTGTAGGCCTGATCCCCAGTGGGGGGCGTGCAGGAGGCGGCCAATCAATGTTCTCTCTCATCGATGTTTCTCTCTCTCCGTCTTCCTTCCTCTCTGCAGAATCAATAAAGAAAAAACAATCAGCACACTAACAATCCAAGACGGAAGGCACATTACTGTCCAGAAGCTGACCGTATGGAAGAGAAGGGCAGTGACTGCATGTGCATAAAATATGTTCACATACAAGCTAAGATCAAGACCCGCTGTGCGTACCCCTAGCCAAGCCGAGCTGTCCACAGCACATGGAACGCTCCCACAAGAGGCTCACGGGACGGCTTGTCTTAAAAGGGGAGTCCCAGGTTCAAAACGACGTTGGGAGACTGTTCCCACCTCGTTCTGACCCAAAAGGTAAAGGCGTAGAACATCAGAAAGAACAATGGAAAACAGAGAGGAGGCCGGCAGAGCCTGATACACACGGAGACTCACGTTCTGTTTTGACTGGGTCAGAACAGCGGATGTGAGCAGGCAGAATGGTGGCCTCGAGGGGACACAGCTATTATTTCAATCTTGGCTGGGTCAGTCCTGCTTACCTTCCACCAGAGGTGGACAAATAAGCCTCACAGTGTGTATCACCTAAGCCTGGCAGGCGTGTTCTAAAACCCGAGGACATACGCCACTGCGTCATGTAATAGTTCCCTCTTGTTTGCTAACAGAATTTCATGAGTCACGGCACCGCCGTGACGAGACGTGATCTGATCACGGTGTGCCGTGTTGGGTGTGAAAGCAGGCGCTGACTGCACAGCCGTAGCACACACAGCAGGGAAAGGCTGGCCCACGTGCTGCCGGGAGGCCGCCGCGACTGTTCCCTGGTGGGCTCTCCTACGAGGAAGGAACGTGACGTCGCCGACAGCCCGAGTGCAGACGGCAGTCGGCCGGCTCCGCGGGCCTTCCCGGCTATCCCGCCGGGGTGACTCGGAACAAGGCCCTGGACACATGCTCAAGACTGAAGCCCCTTTCGTGTGATGCTTCTCTGTAATCTCCATGTCCCTGCACTCTCTCAAGCCGACCTGACACATCAGCCCCTGAGATTCTCAGGCTAACAGCTTAGAGTTACGTACTGAAAAACAAAGCAAAACAAAAATCAAGATTGTAAGAAAGAAGGGATATTTGCCTGGAACGTAGTAAACATGGTTTCCCTTTGCCTTCTTTATACTTTATTCAAACAAAAATAGAAAAAGTGACTGTCATTTCACCCAGATAATCAGGGATCAATTATACTACCCTTGCACACCTTGTTTACAAAGGTAATGAGCATGTCTCGGACGCTTGGGTACTGGGAAAAGCGGCCCTGGGTGAGATGCACTACGTGACCACACGAACTCGAGCACTGAACGCGGAGGCTAATCAGCCACAGCGCAGACCAAAGCCACATGGCGAGTGCTCATCTTCACACGCAGAGAAATGCACGAGCTGCCTCAGCAATCCAGTACTTTAAGTTCCTATTTATTTCCAAGTACTCTGTGGCTATTAACATGTGAGGGTTGCTTTCAAAGGTCAGAAACACTGAACTGTCTAGAAACATTCTGAATAGTAACAGCATAGTAACAGTAACGCTGTGAATTTTATTTTCAAATTTTGGTCAATAAGGAGAAAAATAATAAAGATAAGCAGTCAAAAGAAGTACTAAGAAAAGTATAGTCATTCGTATGCACAGATAATATGTACAGGACAGATTCACTTCCAGTTGATTCAATCCTATTCATACACTTAAAATATAAAACGCATCTCAATTTGTCAAGAAGGTGATCACATTTAGCACCAGGAAAGGAAGTTTATGTTAGCTTTTGAACATGACCTTGTACCTTGTTAAAGGAAAAAAGCTTTCATAGAATCTATATGTAGTTATGCCATCAATTAATTAAAAAAAAAAACCACCCAGTTTTTAGAAGCAGCTGCTGCACACCAGCGATGCGCGTGAGCCAGGGGAAAGCACCCCAGGCCCGGGACTACTTGATGCTGCGCACGACTCTCCGACAGTGGCTGGTCTTCATCTCCTCCAACGCTCGTTCCAGCTGCTGCACCAGGTGGAGCAGGGTGGCCGGGTCCGTCTGCAGAACCTGGATGTTGCGATCTCCATTCTGATTGAGGTGCAGCTTTAGAGTCACTGATGGTTTTATCTGTTGCCTGAGGCTTCTGCTTGCAAGCTTGATTTTAAATGGAATAAAAGCATATAACTATTTAATAATCATGCTGAATACATAACATTTATAATGACTTCATACTATATACAAAAATTAAACTTTGGTTAAATCAGACTTCAAAATAAAACGTAAACTTTAAAACTTTTGGGGAAAAAAAGAAAAAAAAATGAGACTATATATGCAACCTTACTATGGAAGAATTTCTTAAACATGATATAAAAGGCACACACGTTAATGAAATAACTGACAAATTTAACTACATTAAATTAAATTTCCTTCAAAAGGTATCTAAAGATGTTGGAAAAACAAGCCACAAACTGAGAGAAGTTATTTTGAAACACATACAACCAAAAAAAAAAGATTAGTATTAAGAATGCATAAATAGCCCTGGCCGGTTCGGCTCAGCGGTTAGAGCGTAGGCCTGCGGTCCTGAGAGACCCGGGTTCGGTTCCCGCTGAGGGCGCGTACCTCAGTTGCAGTTTGTCCCCAGCCCTGGTCGGTTGTGTGGGAGGCAGCCACTCGATGTGTTCCTTTCACATTGATGTTTCTCTCTCTCTCTCTCTGTCCCTCTCTCTCCCTCCCACTCTACCTGAACAAAAAATGGAAAAATGTCCTCAGGTGAGGATAAAAAAGAATGCATAAATAGCCGTGGCCGGTTTGGCTCAGCGGTTAGAGCGTAGGCCTGCGGTCCTGAGAGACCCGGGTTCGGTTCCCGCTAAAGGGCACGTACTTCGGTTGCAGTTTGTCCCCGGCCCTGGTTGGTCGTGCGGGTGGCAGCCACTCGATGTGTCCCTTCACATTGATGTTTCTCTCTCTCCCTTCCTCTCTCTCCCTCCCACTCTATCTGTACAAAAAGTGGAAAAATATCCTCGGGTGAGGATAAAAAAAGAAAAAAAAGAATGCATAAATAACTGCTCTGATTTATAAGGAACAAAACAAACCAAGAGAAAAACATGCATACGCACTTAACAAAATAAGTAATACAAACAGATAAACAAAGGTGAGCATGTTCAACTTTATTAGAATCAGAAAAATGGCAACAGCTCTGGTCAGTCTGGCTCAGTATTAAGAGAGTCAGCCTCCAGACCGAAGGATCTTGGGTTTGATTCCCAATCAAGGGCACATATGTGGGTTGCAGGTTTGATCCCTGGTCCCAGCTGGGGTCGTGTGGGAGGCAGCTAATCGATGTGTCTCTCTCTCACATTGATGTTTTTTTTCTCTCTCTCTCTGTCTCCCTCCCTCCCACACTATCTAAAAATCAATGGAAAAATATTCTCGGTGAGGATTAACAACAACAACAAAAAAAGAAACTGGCCAATAAAACCATAAGATACTGTTTTACGCATATAAGACTGGCATGGATTGAAAAACTATCCATGCCCTGGCCGGTTTGGCTCAGCAGTTAGAGCGTCGGCCTGTGGTCCAGAAAGACCTGGGTTCGGTTCCCGCTAAGGGCATGTACCTCGGTTGCAGTTTGTCCCCGGCCCTGGTTGGTTGTGTGGGTGGCAACCACTCGATGTGTCCCTTTCACATCGATGTTTCTCTCTCTCTCTGTTCCTCTCTCTCCCTGAACAAAAAATGGAAAAATGTCCTTGGGTGAGGACGATAAAAAAAATAAAATAAAAAAGAAGAAAAGAAAAGAAAAGCTCTCCATGCCCTGGCCAGTTGCTCAGCAGCTGGAGCATGGAACTGCGGACTGAAGGGTTGAGGGTTCGATTCTCGGTCAAGGGCATGTACCTGGGTTGCAGGTTCCGATCCGCAGCCCAGCTAGGGTCGTGTGAGAGGCAACCAATCAATGTGCCTCCCTCACATTGATGTTTCTCTCTCTCCCTCTCTTTTTCTCCCTCCCTTCCACTCTATCTAAAAAAAAGTCAATGGAAAAAAATCCTCAGGTGAGGATTAACCAAAAAAAAAAAAAAGCTGTTCGTACAGAGCACTGCAAGTGATGGGAATGGAAAGGCATCCACGCAGGGGAGTGACAAGAGACTCACTCTGGAAAAAATACCTATCACCGATCATTCCACTCCCAGACACATGCTCTAAACTCCTGCACACATACACACATTCATAGTAGTGTTGTTTCTAAGAGTCAAAAATTAGAAATATCTTAAATATTCTTTGACAACAGAACAGATAAATTGTGATATTCATACAATGAAACGCTTACTACCTGGCAGCAAAAAGAAAACACTCCAGTAACATGAATTGTCATGGAAAAACCTAAAAAGATCATGTACACTCAAAACAGTAAGTGCAGAAGAACACATGAAAATCTAAAAAACAGTTTACTGAAAAAAAGTGTGTAAAAAAACTATAAACAAAAATTAACAGAAAATTCAGGATGGTGGTTACCTCCAGGTGCTGGGAGGGCTTCAGATTGGGGGAAGGAAATTCAAAGGTACTGGTTTTGTGCTAGTTCTTAAGCTCGGCAATGGGTACTTATTTTTCTATTATTCTTTAACCTGAATATCTATAATCTTTTATTTGTATAATATATTCCAAAATTTAGAAAATAAGTACTATTGCCCTAGCCAGATGGCTAGTTTGAGTTCGATTCCTGGTCAGAGCACATACCTAGGTTGCAGGTTTGATCTCGAGTGGGGCACATATGGGAGGCAACCAATCAATGTTTCTTTCTCACATTGATGTTTCCCCCCCCCCCCCCCCCCCCGCCTCTAAAATCAATAAAAAATATCCTCAGGTGAGGATTTAAAGAAAAAAAAGTACTGCCCTGGACAGTTTGGCTCAGCAGTTAGAGAATCGGCCCTTGGACCAGAGAGTCACAGGTTCAACTCCAGTCAAGGACACACACCCCAGTTGTGGTTGGGTCCCCAGCCGGTCAGGGTCATGCAAGAGGCAATGAATCGTTATATTTCTTGCACTGATGTTTCTCTCTCTCTCCCACTCTGTCTGAGAATACAAGGAAAAATAACTTTGGGTGAGGATTAAAAAAAAAAGTACTACTGATATAATATGAAAAGAAAGAAACCCATAGAAACAATGACCATCCTGGAAGTGAGATGATGGCATTTAACCCAGCACCAGAGTGTGCTCTATACAGACCACATTCCCTTAGGAGGAACCAGGACCTCCTCGAAATAACAGCTGATTAGATTCAAGTCTGGGGCAGGACTTGTACAAGATGAACTTGAAACATCTTGTTATACAAGAGAGCAGATTGTTATCTGAAACTACTGGAGTAGTATCAAAAGTACAAGAAGCCAAACTAAAGAGACTTCCAAGTGAGTAACAAATCTAAATCTAAGATTTGAGGATTAACTTCATACCACAACATAGAATATTCTGACTAATAACTTCTTTCAATTAATCCTGGGTCATTTGTGCATCCAAAAAAACCCAAGATTCTGATCCCAAAGCTGAAATTTAATGTCTCAAAATAATGTGGAAACAACAGATTAATCCCTTTGGGTGAGCTCGTCCCCAAACATAAAATAGGTATTTGTAAGGTAAATTATCTCTGTAAGATCATTTCTCTAGTACAGAAAACCACAGAAAGGCAAATAGTAATAAATATGATTACTGAAAATACTACTTATTCATTCAATTATGCATTATTTATACTTCTTTTTCCTCTATATCTGCACTGACAGATAGAGACCAAATGTATCTAGGTGTGTAATTAAGCCATGAATTTTTTGTTGAAAGACTTAAGGTCACTCAATCTATCCTTCCATTTTTAGATAACATGATATCTGAAATAATAACCTTTACAGATAAGTATCTGTACCATTTTTTTAAATTTCCAGATAAAGATGATATAATATCCCTAACAAACACCTAGTAAGATAAAATTGGGCCTAATTTTTTCTCAGAAAGAAATCTGAATGAGACTCAGAAGTACTACTACAGTATAAAGAACAGTATTCCACAAAGTTTTTGATATAAACTTATTCTTAATGGGGATAAAATTCTGTCCTTCTTCTTGTAAAAATAACAATAGCAACTTTAAATAATCAGCCCTAAAAGTAACATCCTCATCCACCAATCTCAGATGCATTCAATTTACTGATACTATTAACAAAGATATTAATCATGCTTGCAATTTATAAAGTATAGGAAGTGTTTCTATTACAAAATCAACTATGGTGCTTAATGTATTCCCCGTAAGCAACTGCACAATAATTAGATGGCAATCAGCCATTCACTACCAGTCTCTGTGAGACAAACCAGTTACTCAAAAACAAAAGGTTCTGTATTCTGTTACTAGTTTCCTAGCCTTTTGGCTGGTTTTCATTCGATAACTCTTCCTCCCATAAGCAAAAGAATCCACTCCAGTTAAAATCCTTTGTAATAATTTCAACTAAGAAGTTCACGAAGTCAATTAGTTCTCTGAGCAGCCTTTTTAGCACTTAAATGCGTTTCACTATGAGGCAATATTCATTCAGTATACCTCAACTTTGAAATGTTTTAATGCAGTGACACAGTTATTCAAACTCATTTCACCAGGTGAATGAGCCCTCTTTAGAAAATTTAACTGCTTAACCTTTTAACTTCTAAAAATGTCTTCATGATGGAAAACTTAAAACAACAACTCAATAAAGCAAAAAAAACAACAAACTTCTACTGGACCCCAAGTTCAGAAAATATCCCCACACAACACACGAGGCACGAGAGGGGAAGACATGTAAGATAAGTCACTGCTGAACCTCATGAGCATGGCCACCCCACTTCTCCACCTGGTTATGACGAAGGACCTCAACATAAAGGCTTAACCAGTGAGCTCCTCCCACGAGCGCTATAGGACTTGCTGTTTGTGATGATCGAAGGACATAAACTACCTTGTTCTCTGCTGTACCCACACCACAGGATGGGATACAATATTTGATAAATAATTTGTTTAAGAAGGTGCTTACCACCACTAGCCACCCTCCCCACCATTTTTATATTCAGCAGTTAACACCTATTATATGCCAGGCACTGTGCTGGGGCCGCAGGAGTCAACAAGACACAGTACCTAGAGTCTGTGATCTGGTGGACACTATACCCTGTGTTTATACCCTTCAAGCCCTCATCATACTAAATTATAATCGCTAAACCTCTCTAACTGAATTTCTATAACCTATTTGGCCCACCCTGTCACTATTCAAATCAGGAAGAATCCACTATAACAGCGGTTTATAAACTTTATTGCATGTGAGAATTACCTGGATGAACGGAGAGCTTTTAAAAATCCTAAACCCTGGCCAGTGTGGCTCAGTTGGCTGAGCACTGTCCAGTGCACTAAAAGGCTGCCAGTTTGATTCCTGGTCAAGACACATGCCCAGGTTGCAGGTTACATCCCTGGTTAGGGTGTGTACAGAAGGCAACCGATTGGTGTTTCTTTCTCTGCTCCTTGCTTCCTTTCTCTCTAAAACCAATAAAAACATATTTAAAAAAAAATCCTGATGCCCAGGCCAAACCGCATACCAGTAAGTCAGAATCTCTGAGGGTCATTCCAATACGCAGTCGAGTTTGGCTAAGCTAGCGTGCGACACCACGTATTCAACATGCTCATTTCCTCATGAGCATGGGCCGTACAGCTTACACTGTCTCCTCTGTCAATGATATTTACTCTGGTTTTGTTTATCCATTTATCCTTCTGAAATTTCACCTTTCAATGAAGGTTTTCTGGATCATTCCTGTGTACACTGAAATGAACTACCTGAGCTATAGCTTTTTTGAAATACTCAGTGTACCTTGATTTACACAATTTTATTCTTTTCCCCCTCCAAAACCATACTTTATAACTGTCTTTTTTTTTTTTTTTAATCCTCACCCAAGGACACTTTTGCATTTATCTTCAGATAGAGTGGGAGGGAGAAAGGGGGGAAGAGAGAGAGAGAGACATATCGAGTGGTTGCCACCCACATGACCCCAACCGGGGCTGGGAACAAACTGCAACTGAGGTACGTGCCCTTAGCGGGAACCAAACCCGGGACTTTCTGGTCCATGAGCCGACGCTCTAACCGCTGAGATAAACTGGCCAGGGCACTATCTTTAATTACTACTTACTTTGAGACCATATAATATTCCTAAATGACAATCTTTTCCAGCTGAGAAGTGTCTTACACTTTTGTTTTCCAAAGCATTTAGCAAAGCTCTGATCAGCAAATGGATGACATTCAATAGACATCTCTTACTCTCTGTCACTGCTTGACAAAGGGCTACAAGCAAGAGTCTGAAAACTCCCTTTTGGTTATCTATATGGCTTTAAAAACAACCGAATCTCACAAATATAATGTGTGCAGAAGCCCGAGCCAGGCACGAAAGAACACTGCTGAAGCATTCCAGATAGAGAAAGTGAAGAGCAGCAAAAGAATCTGTGCATCAGAGGTCAGGAAAGGGGAAGGGAGAACCTGGTAGGAGGCGAGGAAAATGCTTCTGGGGCGCTGCTCATGGGGAAGTTGGTTTCATGGTTATTTTCCATGAGATAATTCACCACGCTGTACACTCACTGACCTGTACACTTTTCTATATGTATATTTATTTAAACAGAAAATTTTTTAAAAGTCTAAGTATCACTTTAAAAAGTCTGCATAACCATGTCTTTTCCCAAAATAATATATTTCTTACAAACTTTGCAAATTAAACTGATTGGACACCTTAAAAATATAAGAAAATGAACTATTTGTGAAATGGCCTGAAAAATGAACATTAAAAACTAAAGTTTCAAACCAGAGTGTGGTTAGGTGGTAAAGCATACAATAAGCCTGAGGTCATGAACCTAAAACCAACCTCGCACTCTAATCCAGATCAGTAACAGTAGCAGAAAGCCACACCTGCACATCCAGTCGCCATTCAAGGTTGTGGTAGCTGGGGGGGTCTGGTGCTAGTTCACTCAGAATAGTCCTGATCTCCTTTCTGTTGTCCAGATAAAGCTGAAGCAACAACTTGTTCAATTCTTCCGTGAATCCCAGAACAAAAACGGAGTCCTGGAAATCCAGTTCAGAAATCTAAGGGGAATTGAGTTTAAAAGAGTATCAGAATTTACCTTTGTCTAGTCATTGCTAAAATAGTCGATGTACACAAAAGAACATGAAATCTCCTAATTCTTTTCTATCTGGTAAAAGAAACAACACTCCTTAATTAAACGCAATCCTTGCCCACTATAAAAAAAAAAAAAAAGAATTATTAAAAGCCCAGTTTTCCCTCCCATTCTTCATCAAGCCAGATACTATCAAAACGCAAAAAAGTAAACCCTTATATTATCCCTTCTCTTAGGATACAAACTATGGTACATGGTTCAATAACATGCAGAATTAAAGGCAATTCTAACTTATAGTAACATGGAGGTATTCTTGCCAGCAGATTGTTATAGTCATATTGTTGTTTAATGATTATTTTTGGTTACATATGTCCCCCCTTTTCCCCCTTCGACACCCTCCTCCCTGCTTCTGTTCCCCACCTCCACCTTCATCATACTGCTGTGTCCATTGGTTATGCATATATGCATATTAGTTCTTTGGTTTATCTCTACCTGTCCCCCACCCCTGAGGTTTGTCAGTCTGTTCCCTCCTTCCACGTCTCCGAATCTATTTTATCAATTTATTTTGTTCATTATATTCCACAAATAAGTGAAATCATGTGATATTTGTCTTTCTCGGATTGACTTATTTCACTTAGCATAATGCTCTCCAGGTCTCTCCACGGTATTCCATTGCATATACGTACTAGAACTTAAAATACATGGAACGCTTCACGAATTTGGGTGTCATCTTTGCACACGGGCCATGCTAATCTCTGAATCGTTCCAATTTTAGTATATGCGCTACTGAAGCGAGCACTATAGTCACAGAGTTTAGGCATGGCTTCACCAAATCAATCATCACTGAATGAGCAGGTGCCCGCCAGGACTATGATGCAGAGCATCCATGACGTGCTTCAGTCCACAGGGGCCCTCACCATGAGCTTCGAGCTTTCAGTGAGCAGGTATGTTAATCCTTCCACACCATGCTGGACAGTGTCACTGCTCACATTGAGTTTCCCTGAGAAAGAAGAAAAAGGGAGCAAATAAATTATTGTGACTTTTATCCTTTTAGTCAAACTCTTACTTAAGAATAAATATTATCGCCCTGGCCGGTTTGGCTCAGCGGTTGGAGCATTGGCCTGTGGTCTGGAGAGACCCGGGTTCGGTTTCTGCTAGGGCCGTGTACCTCAGCTGCAGTTTGTCCCCGGCCCTGGTTGGGTCGTGCGGGTGGCAACCACTCGATGTGTCCCTTTCACATCGATGTTTCTCTCTCTCTCTCTCTTCCTCTCTCCCTCCCGCTCTGTCTGAACAAAAAATGCAAAAATGTCCTCGGGTGAGAATAAAATAATAATAATAATAATAATATATTATCCATTATTCCGTGTGTTTTTTTTTTTTTTTCCAAACACTGCAATGAAAAAATAATGAGTTGGTACCAGCCTCCCCTTCCTTCTCTACTCTCAGCCAAGCGCCTGCGGGATGTTTCGCTCTGTAACCTTCTTTACAAAACGCAGATCCCTGGGGACTGGCACCAGGTCGTTCTCCTGAGGGTGCAGCTCCCGGGAGCCTGGCAGAAGAGGAACTCGGGGCCGACTGCACCTGGGAAGCTGCCCGCGCCCCGCGGGGATAAAACAGGCTCCGGCGGCAGCAGCGGCGGCGGGGACGACTGACACCACCACACACCTGGGGATGCGCACGGCTCGCCGCCTACTGCGCATGTCGCGGCGGGTGAGCCTGCAGGGCTGGCGGGCGGACCCTGGTCTATTCTACCCGCGCGGGGGGCGACCTACCAGAAGCTTTAAATCTCTCATTTCCTGCGGACACCGGCCGGGCCTGCGCCCCGGCGGAAGGGCCCCTCGGACCCCCGGAACCCCTTCTCCCCAGGCCCACAGCGGACGGCTGGCACTGCCGCCAGCAGCCCGCCGGGCCGCGCCCCCCCGGCTTACTGGCGGCGCCCTCGTAGATCTTGGGGTTCGAGCCTCGCCTCAGGAACTCCACGGCGATCCGCCCAAACTCGGCGACCACTGCAACGGAAGCCAGGCCAGCGTGAGCCCCGCGCCCCGCTCTCCCGCCCCGGGCCGCACCCCGCCGCCGCGTCCCCACCCGAGCTGTCCACTTGCGGCAGGAAGGCCAAATGCTCCCTGTGCTCCTCCGACAGGTCCAGCAGCATCTCGGCGGGGCGGCCACTGGCGCCGCTGCGCAGGCTCCGCCCCGCCACTTCCGCCCCGCCACTTCCGCCCCGCGTCCGCCGGGAACGCGCTCCGGCGCCTGCGCAGCCCGCGCTCTGGGTTCCGGGCGCGGTGGGGCCGGCCGCCCAGCGCCCGCGGAGGGAGAGGCTGCGGGGGCGCGTCTCCGTGGGTGCGGGGCTGGGTGCGGGGCGCGGGGCTCTGTGGGGACAAAGGTGTTTAAACCCGACAGCCCGGCCCCGCGGGGCTTACAGGCATGATATCCAGCTGACAGCCGTGAGGCACTGGGACAGGCACTGTCCTGACCTTGCTGTCCCTACAGGTAGGGGCACTGGGGTCGGGCCACTGGGGTCGGGCCACTGGGGTTGGGCCACTGAGGTCGGGCCACTGAAGCCACCTCTCCGTTTGCAGAGCTTCTGTGGAAGTTATTTTATTTTTTAATCCTCACCCCAGGATATTTTTCCATTTATCTTCAGACAGAGTGGGAGGGAGGGAGAGAAACATCATGTGGGAGACCCCACCCGGCCAGGCCGGGGAGGAACCGCAACCAAGGCGGTGCCCTTGACCAGCATTGAACCCGCAACTCATGGGTCCACCGACCGTGGCTCTAACCACTGAGCCAAACCAGCCAGGGCAGTTATCCTGCTTAATAGGTTCAACTTGTTCTTGCGGATGAAGAATCAAAGCTCCAAAATTAAGGAACGACCGGTGACAGAGCGGGAAGGAGAGGATCAGATCTCTGACCACTGGTGCCAAAGCCCATCGTTGGACACAGGGCATGAGGCCCAGGCTCGTAACAAGTTCTGTGAGTGACTGTACATGAGCATGACGATGGTGATGATGCCTACACGGGTTGCTGCTCGCAGAGCTCAGAACAATTTATTTCATTTTTTTCTTTATTGATTTTTTTTTTTTTTTTTGAGAGAGAGAGAGAAGAAGGGAGAAGGAGAGAGAAATAGAAACATCGATGAGAAAGAACAGTTTGGCCGCCTCCTGCATGCCCCCCCATTGGGGATCGGGCCCACAACCTGGGCATGTGCCCTGATGGGGAATCAAACTGGTGACCTCTTGGTGCAGGGTCGACGCTCAGCCACTGAGCCACACCGGCAGAACATTATTTTTAATGTGTTGAACACAGTGTGAAAATTCAGCTCCTTTCCCAACTGTTGCTTCTTACCTGCTGTGGTTCAAACGTAAGAGACTATAGAACTGCTTATTGGTAGAAATAGGACTCTCCAAATTTCACCCTCTTTGTGTGTGGGGTGGGGGAAAAACAGCGAGAGATTTCTCATCTATCTGATATCTAGGGATTGAGCCATTGAGACAGCTCTCCTGGGCAAAAGTGAAAATTGGAAGTTTCTCAGCTGTGCTCTGTCTCTGCCTTGTCCCTCACATCTGACTAAAATTGAAATTTTTTCTTTCCTCCAGGGGGCACAGAAAGGCAGGTCCTTGGACTTGTTACAGTAGTTAAGTCTTGAAGCAGCATTTGCAGAGAGTGCAACATTTTTACTTAGACTGTAAGTTGCCGATCAGCAAAAATAGCATTCTTTCCTGAAAAAGACTTTATTCATACATTATTGAGAAAAATCCATTATTTAAGAATATTTCTCAGAAAAGGTAAAATCATGATTTTTCTACACATCAAAGATTATGTTGAAATCATGACTTAGTAAGGTTACAATAAGAAGTAGTTTCAGCCTGACCGGTGTGGCTCAGTGGTTGAGCGTCGACCCTGCACCAAGAAGTTGCCAGTTCAATTCCTGGCCAGGGCACATGCCCACACTGTGGGTCTGATCCCCAGTGGGGGGCATGGAGGAGGCAGCCAATCGATGTTCTCTCTCACTGATATTTCTCTCTCCCTCTCCCTTTCTCTCTCTCTCTAAAATCAATAAAGAAAAAATAATAATAAAAAAGAAGTAGTTTCAAAGTGATACCATTATAACTGGAAAGTAGCAAAGAGAAGGCCAATGAATTGACGCATGCTCTGTAAAGTCTGGGTGATGTAGGGAAGGTACTTGCCTGTCAGTCACACCTGGGAACAGGTCATTGGCCAGAATAGGCATGGCCACTACAAGATTTGAGATACTTGAACTCCTAAACAAAGGGTTCTTTTTCTTGTGCTCTTGAGACTCTTGTTGCAAGGAGTGCTCTCTCTTGGCTCCCCTGCATCCGCCCACATGGCCCACAGCCCTGTGGACCACACACAATGGACTAATGGACTTACCGCACCCACCTCCACCATGGAATGGAAACTCTGGACACTGGTTTTCTTCTAGCTCTACTGAATCCCCAGCTGCACCTCTTCCAGGACTGGATTAAGGGAAATGGGACTTTGCAAACCCAGGGATGTAATTTCACACAAATAAAAGTCACTCATCCTCCCATGTGAGTCTCAGAAAATTCTTTTTCTCGAGATATCATAAGGACCCTGCCCCCAGCACCTAGTGAGGAAGAGGATACCTCACTTCACGGATAAGAAACAGAGTCAAGGGAGATATTCAAGAACCATACTTCTACAAATGTTTCTTATGATGGAGTTATGTCCTGACAAACCCATTGTAAGTTGAAAATATCCTAAGTCAACGTGCATCCATATACCTAACCTACTGAACGTCATAGCTTAGCCTAGTCTACCTTAAACATGCTCAGATCATTTACATTAGCCTAAAGTTGGGGGAAATCATCTAACACAAAGTTTATTTTATAATGAAGTGTTAAACCTCATGTAATTGATTAAATACTGTATTGAAAGTGAAAAACAGAATAGTTAGCTCTGGTCAGGTGCCATAGTCACTTGGAGCATTGTCCCATACACCAAAAGGTTGTGGGTTTGATTCCCAGTCAGGACGCATACCTAAGTTGTGGACTCAATCCCAATCGAGGTGTACATGGTAGGCAACCAATCAATGTTTCCCTCTCACATATTTGGATCTCTCTCTCTCTCTCTCAAATCAATTTTGAAAAGACATATCCTCAGGTGAGGATTAAAAAAGAAAACAATGGTGATATGGGTATTCACCACTAACATACACAGCTGAAGGCACACTGGGCCTGAAGAATATTTGTGAAGTATTGAAATGAAACAGAAGATGCTGGCACACAGTACCCTGTAGAGTATCAGCTATTTATCCTCGCGGTCTCATGACTGACTGGCAGTGTCCCCAGAGGGTGTCATCGTACTGCATGCTGCTAGCCCAGGGAAAGAGCAACATTCAAAATCTGAAGTATGGTTTCTACTGAATGCTTATCACTTTTGCACCACTGTGAAGTCAAAGAAATAAATAAAAAGTTGAACCATTGTATATAGGTGACTATATAGGGAATAAGGACCGCTGAAAGGAATGTATAAACATATACAATATTACACCAATGTGATGTAGCCCTTCTTCCCTGTGATGAAGTGGGGAGAGGGGAAGGTAGGGAATGGGAAATAGCAGCATGAGATGGCCAAAGGAGAGGGTCAAGAAGCCAAGTTATAGCTGGCGGAAACCAGTCTGGGAGTTAAAACTCCCTAGACTAATTTAGAGAGTGACCGTTTGCTATCAAATGTGATATAGTTATTTAGAGGAAATTATGTGAATGAAAAATCAAGTCTAGATTCCAGATCTGACTCGGACACTTACTATTTGTAGAGCCGACAATAGGTTGTTTTTATATGTTATAAATTTAAATTCTTTATTTGTAAAATGGTTATTTTAATGACTATCCTTTGGTGCCATGCAAGGCTGTTATGATGCTCAGATGAACTAATAAATTCACATTAAGAAGTTGATTTGGGGATGTTATAGGGAGCTTTAGCCCCATGAGAAATCAACCAGAGTTTGACCTCCATTGGAAATTTGAAAAGTAACATTCTTCAGCTGTAAATAAGGAGAAACTGAGGCTTCCTTTTTAAGAATATATGTACTGCACCTGGCTAACTCTGTCACAAATTTACTAATTAGTGCTTGTTTAGCCCTAATTATAAAAAGGGCTGAAAGTCTGCTTCAGTTCTCCTCTGCGAAGGTTGGCTGCAGTCCCTGCGCAGGTAATAAAGCTCCTAATATTCAAAATTACTTTGTGTCTGAGTGAGGTTGATTCTCCTGGGTTACAACAGGGGACTTCCGGTCAAGATGGCGGGGAGGTAAACGCGGTATCGCCTCCTCCCACAACCACATCAAAGTGACAACTAAACTACAGAACAACCATCCTTCAGAACTGCCGGAAATCAAGCTGAATGGAAGTCCTGCAACAAAACTAAAGAAGAAGCCACAAGGAGACTGGTAGGAGGGCGGAGAGGGACGGGCTGGTCCCACACCCACGGGTGGCGGATAAAAATCAGGGAACACCTCGGCTGGGAATGTCCTCCCTGAGGACTGAGGGGTCCCCGTCCCACACCAGGTGCCCCGCTCAGGGTCCCAGTGCCAGGAAGAGAATCCCCATCACTTCTGGCTGGAAAACCAGTGGGAACTGAGGCTCAGGGAGGCTGAGGCGGCTGGAGCTCCAGGCAACTCCTTAAAGGGCCCACGCACGGACTTATCAGACTTGCTCCCTCCAGGCTCCAGCTGGAGGGGAGGCAGCTTGAAAGGCACCAGAGACATACGGGGAAGAACTGAGCTGTTTGGCATCGGGGCAAAGTCTTGAGAGACAGATTTCTCCTGGAAAGACGTGCTGGTAGAGGCCATTGTCCCTTTGGTGAGCCCTTCCCCGGGTTGGCAGACAGCCACCATATCTGGGACTCCAGCAACCTGGCTCACACTGGTTGCCTCGCCCTGGTGATTCCCTAAGGCCCTGCCCCACCCAACTTTCAGGCCCACCCAAGCTATTCCTTGTGGCTTTACTGTAGGATTGGCCTATCTTAGCTCCTGTTTTAGATTTTCCTAAAATCTCTCAAACAAGCAGCATCTGGTCTCAGTGAGCCCCATACCTCTCTCTAAGTGGCCCAGGCCTGGCACTAGAAGCCACCAGTCTTGGTTCACAACTTGGCTTTTCCTGGGCACCTCCAAGCTTAGCACAAGAAGCAGCCATCTGCAGAT